ATTTTGTGGCAATGCAGGTAGAACATCTTGTGGTTGAGAATTCTCCCTGACACCAGTGAGCTGAGTCAATGGTGTGTTAACATAAAGAACCTGCTGATTTTGACAAAAAGGTGAATGAGCCTATGTTTACAAGATGGAAAGGAAAGTACCCACATCATCTATTTGTTAAGGTAGAATGACTCTGTTGTGCCTGGATGTTTTTGTTTTGTAAGGCAGCTGTAAGGCTAAGCTGAAATAAGATGAGGATCATGGTAATATAATTACTAATACAAGGTTAGTCCAAGTGATTGTGAATGCCAAGAAAAATGAGATGCCTCAGTATGAGTCAACACATTCATTTCCCAACCACTCTGGCTGTGTAAGGGAGATAAAACTGTGTTTATAAGGGCTGGTTACAAGGTGGCTCCTAATAGCTTTCCAACAACATTATCCTGTTCTGCCATATCATGATAAAGCAATAAATGCAGAATCAAGCTGAAGCCCTGCTGAAAACACCTACTTTGTCCCAATAATGAAAGAGAGGAGTACAAGCTAAATTCTAGATGTTCTGTGTTAAATGAATTCCAGGGCTGGATGGGCCATGCAGGGTTTGGCTGCAGTGTTCAAGGCCAGGTCTGACACAAGCTCAGGTGTTTCACTTCACATGGGGCTGCTGGAAAAGGAGCTCTGTGAAGCTGCTTTTCAGCAGAGACATTTCCCTTGGTCCTGGACAAGCTGCAGAGCAGCTCTACCTCTACCTGGCCTCACCCCCCTCACCTGCACTGCCCCTGCTGTGAGTTTGTGGCTCCAGCTCAGCCCTGTTCCATCACTCCAGACCCCGGGGTGATCACTGGGCTGCCCCTGCCTTGGCTTTCTGCCCTTCATCTTGGACCTTCCTCATTCCCACACATTTGCCAACTGGCCACCCTCACTGGAGCTGCTCTGCTGCTCCTTTGGGACTGTGGCACTGCCCTCCCTGCTGGCAAGGACTGCCCTGCCTGCCTTGCTCTCAGCTGCAGATCCTGCATGGTCTTCCCCAAAGGCTTCCCACTGCCAGAGGGAAGGCAGGGTTAGATGGGATACTGGGGAGAAATTCTTCCCTCAGAGGGTGGGGAGGCCCTGACCTGGCACAGGATGCCCCTGGGTCCCTGGAAGAGTCCAAGGCCAGGCTGGGATAGTGGAAGGTGTCCCTGGCCATGGCAGGGGGTGGGACAGGATGGGATTTAAGGTCCTTTCCCACCCAGACCAGTCTAAGATCCTGTGATATCCTTAGAATAACCTGCTTGTGCTGCTCCTGACATAAAACTCAGCTCTGAGTCTGGCAAAAGTCACCACCACTATCTGGATCTCACCTAATGGGAATGTGACAGAAAACAGCACCAGCACCAAGTTACTTATCACAATAAGCAAGATGAATGAAGTGATAGATCAAACCTATTTCATTTTACATCCTCCATTTAACTGCTTTACATCCTGTGAGCATTCCTTCTGTCTCCCTCATCAATAACACTGCACAAATAATGAAACAAATCCTGTGCTGTTCCTCTAAACTACTAATTCATCCTGACCCTGCAGCAAGGATCTCACCACCACTCTGCTGGCTTTCACAGAACTCCAGGTGCTTCCATCAGTTCTGAACCAGATTCAAAGGTTAACATGTGGTTAAGGGGCCCAATTTCAGAAGAGATCAACTCATGGCAGTCTTAAATTTCACCAAAAGTTTGGGTGGTGCAGAGAAGGAAAAAAAAAACAACAAACAAAACCAAAACATAACATTAAAAAAGAAAACAGGTTCTTCCCTGCATTATTTTTAAAACCAAGAGGTGAGCCAGATTGCCCAAGTATTCAGACACCTCCTGATATGGACCTGACAGGCAGAATTCTTAGGAAGAACCCACTCATTTCCCAGGGAATTGGCACCTGCATGTCTTGAAAATCCACTGGATCTCAGTCCTTTTTTCAGCTGAAGTACCCCTGGAAGTGAATTCTCAGTCTCTCAAGTTACCTCTCCCCAACCCTGACTCTCAGAGTGAAGCTGAGGACAGAGTTTGACTGAACTGGGTTAAGAAAAAGGAGACAGCACATTAAGTCTGCTTTTACATTTTAGACAAGAACTCTAATGTAACCCTAATGCAGCTTTTTAAATTTCCTTTGCCAGTCTTTCCCAGCACCTCAGCTACAGTAATTGCAGAGTTTCTAAACTTTCCCTCTGATTATTATTCAATTCAATTATTTATGTACATTATAAATGGTCAGAAGAATTCTGGAAACTGTGACAAGTGTTCCAGATCTGAACATCTATCACTGCCAAAACAAAGGACTTACAAAACAAATTTGCAAGCGTGCTACTCTGTCAAACACTGGGGCTTGTTCTTTGAATATATGTGTTTATATATAGATATTAGATATTTTCACTGAGACATAGCTGCCAAATTACAGGGGCTTTTAGTTTTAAATGTCAAAACAGTCAAAATTTTCTGTCTGTGTTCATAAAAAAAAGAAAGAAAATAAAACCCTGTTCAAATTCAAAGGGGGAAAGTGCTGCTATCAAAGCAGATTTCAAGTAATCTTATAAAGGACTGTTGTATTTGATAGATGATGTTGATATATTTTTTAGTCTTAGTTTTAATAATTAATATTTCTGAATAAGAAATAAGAGCAGAGTTGCCCAGACAACATGGTTATTATGGGTTGTGCTGATTTGCTTTTACCATTGGTGCCTTGGGAGGTCAGGCAGGTCCCCTGGAGCAGGCTGGCACTTAGTTTGGGATCATGGAATGGGTTGGGTGGGAAGAAGCATAAAGATCATCTCATCCCACCCCCTGCCATGGGCAGGGACACCTTCCACTCTCCCAGGCTGCTCCAACCTGGCCTTGGACACTGCCAGGGATCCAGGGGCAGCCACAGCTGCTCTGGGCACCCTCTGCCAGGGCTTCTCCACCCTCAGAGGGAAGGATTTCTCCCCAAAATCCCACCTTAACCCTGTCCTCTGTCCTCTCTTGTCTGTAACAAGTCCCTCTCCCTCTTTTTGGGCACTGGAGCAGTTTGCACAGGCAGCAGGAGCCTGGGCTGGTGACAAATGCTCCTGTCCCTGCTGCCACAACTGGAACATCATCCCATCCCTTAGGGGAATATTTACAGCTCCAGTTCCAGCACAGATCCACCCCAAGCTCTGCTCCAGACAAAGCACATCACCAAGCCCATCCTCATGTTATTGGCATCAGCACAGCACATATGGGAAATGACCAAACACAGTAATTCTGCATTGCCTGGTGCATTGTCAGGAAGGAGAGAGCAAGGCCCACGTGGATTTCTGAGGAGCAAGTCAGTCTCTGCATCTTAATAAGGGCTAACTGGAAGTGGGTGGGACCTGCCAACAGCCAGAGAGGAGCAAATCCAAAGGACCCACAACCTTCACACTCCAAAGCAGAGCTCTGAGTGCTCTGCTGTCCTTGTCAAAGCAGGCTGGCAGAGGGAAACTCAGCTGGGAGTTTTTAGTCCTTTACTCCTCCTCACTTACTAATCCAGTGCTAAATAAAATGAGCTTTCAAATCTCCACAACCACAGCAATCAATTTACAAAACAAACTTGAATGGTCCAGCCCCAAATCTAGGCCTGTGAAGTCTTTCAACTTTTGTACTGACAAAACAGAATTGTTATTGGCATTAGCCCAGAGAAGTCATTATGGTGGATTCATGGTGGTTCTGCAGTTTCTCACCTCCTCTCATCTGGTCTTGTGCTCAGCAGAATCAGTGCATGAATGAAGCAGGACTGCTTGTCATAGAATCATGGAATGGGCTGGGAGTGATCCTAAAGCTCATCTCATTCCAACCCCTCTGCTGAGGGCAGGGACAGAGATAAATCTATTGAGGAGTAACAACAGCCCTGTCCTCCAAGCCATAGTTAGGCTTTGGTTGAAATCAGGATCATTTCATACCCCTTAATCAGAAGTAAAACCTATAATTAAGCCCACAATCCTCAAAACCAATCCACAAAAGTGAACCATAAAGCTGCTGGGGCAGACAACAGGACTCAGCAGAGACAGTAAAAATATTTCACTTTTTAAGGAAAGTTATGAAAGATCATGTGGGAGACTCTGGCTGCTGTGAAGTAGGTGACAGCCCTGACAGGTCAGAAATGGAGGGCAGCTGTTTGGGGAGCTCTCCCTGCACAGGAAAGTGGGGAATTCTTCTTCCTTAGTGTGAGAGAAGAGCTGTAGGGCTGCTCCTCTCCTCATCTAATGGTGCTCCATAACAAACAGATTTGAAGCAATGCAATAAAAAAGACATTTTGCTCCCAGCTTGGCAGGGAGCACCTGTATCTTAGGCTGGGGGTGTGTATTCTGTTCACATCTGTCAGAGGTGGGGCAGTTCTCTTCATTGGGCAGTTTTTCTTTATCTCTTCCACAACCCATCCTCCCTCCAGGAGATCTCTGCTGTCCATGGCCAGTGAGTGTCCCTGCATGGCTGAGAAAATTCCATCATCCATGGGGAGATGCTCTGCCCAGGAGCCAAGCATTCCTACCTGGATCCAATCTGAGATTTTGGGACACCACAGCAGCCTTTGCCCACTGCATTCCCAGAGGAGCAGCTTTCTCCCCACTGCATTCCCAGAGGAGCCCAGGCCCATCTCCCCCAGCCCTGGAGCTCCAGAGGAAAATTCCCCCCTGTGCAGGATCCTGCTCCAGCAGAAGCACAGCTGGCACTGCAGGAGGGCTGAGCCACCCTGGGATGGGGCTGAGCCACCTCCCTGACCCACAGGGGACAGGGCTTGTTCTGATTCTGGCAGTGTTGTTTTGGGGGTTTTTTTGTGTTTGTACAATTGCATTTGTATTTTTAGTTTTCCTAATAAAGAACTGTTATTCCTGCTCCCATATCTTTGCCTGAGAGCCCCTTAATTCCAAAATTATAACAATTCAGAGGGAAGGGCTTTACATTTTCCATTTCAGGGGAGGCTCCTGCCTTCCTCAGCAGACACCTGCCTGTTCAAAGCAGGACACCCAGCCCACCCTGAGCACTGACCCTGTGGAACAGGAGCGGGGTGTTCTCTGCCATGGGCTGCTTCCCACACACCGAGCGCTGAGGCTGCCACTGCTCCAGCTGCTCCTGCAATCTGCATCTCCTCTGCCTCTCCTTCATCTCCTCTTCCTTTTGGGATAACTCTCTTTCACGTCCTTCTCTCCTGGAAAATACACAGATTAAGCTTTTCACTTGAGGAAAAAAGCCACTTGTTCATCTGGTTGCACTTCTTTTTTTTCTCCGTATTTACGCCACACACTTGAGGGGGAATCATGACATGAAAGGCTAAAATAGATTTAGAAAGCAATTCTGGTGTTTGTGGAGAGACACAAGAACTTGTCATCATCTCTCTAAGAACAAAAACACCTCAAAGAAAAGGAGCAGAGATCAAACTTCTGATAAGTGGTGATGATCTATCTGGAGATGCAAACTCCTTTTGAGCAGAGATGTGTTTGTGATGTGTCACTCCCCATCTCCACACCAAGATTCCCAGTCTACACCCATTTCCTTTCTTATCTGCTATAGGATACAACAGAGATAAAAGTTCCCCTGACCCCAAGACCTCCCATCCTTCTACACCTGGATGCCCACAGAAAGATTTGATTTGCCATTTCTGTGGCAAAGTTCAAATTCTTCTGAATTCTTTCAGCCACAGGTGCCCCAGCAATAATTAGAATAGCAAGAGAGAAAGCTAAAATCAGTTAAAATCACTGAATTATCACTCAGAGACAGTAAATAACCCACATTCTTGCCTGACCATGGGCTGCCATTTCAGGCTAACAGGTAAATCAAAATGGAGTTTAATATTCCTGATGGAAGCAATGAGTTTAATGTCAGGAATTCCAGCAGGAAAAAAGCCCTGCAACCAACCACCTGCCATTTAAATCAGGTACACAGGAGCTGAGGTGTCTAAGTGGCAGGGCAGCAAGTGTTTAACTGACACAGTAATAGTCTCCAGAGCAGGCAGATCTTGATTCTTTCCAGGGCTCATATGTCAAAGTCAGAATGTTAAATTTCACTCTGAAAATAGCAGGATATAACCTTTGAAAGTGCAGCATAATGGAGCTCTCCCAAACAGTTGGGCAGGTGCACAAGGCAACCACCTGATTTCACTTTGAAATTAGACCTTCTGCAGAATACACTACATTTAACTAAGCCCAGGGAGGCAGAGGCCCAAATAACTCTGCAATTTCCTCAATTGATATCACTCTTATTTCTATTTTTTTAAAGCTTTCCAAGATGTTCCTGTGGCATCCCTCATGGGTGTACTTGCACTTTTCTTGCTGGCAGAGTCAGAATTCCCTTGTTTGGAAGAAAAAAAACTACAAGGGGAGACTGACATATCTTCCAGTTTGTAAAGGGTGTTTAAACTGAGACACAGAATTAACCATTTTCCATTCCTGCTGGGAACACAACAAAAATAAGCTTAAATTGGAGAGGGAATAATTTAAATTAGACTTAATGAAAAGCTTAACAACTCTAAGGATAACTAAACAGCAACATGTACTACCTGGGAGTCAAGGGCTCCTCACCATTGAGGATTTCAAGACCAAGTTCTATAAAGATCTGCCAGGAAATATTAGATTTTACCTCACTCTTTATTGGCACAGGGAGACTGACCCTTCCAGACCTATTTTCTAGGAAGCTGTGCTTAGGAAATCTCAGTGCTGTTGTTCCTAAAGGAGATCAATACTGTGTTATCCTCCTCTTCTGTAGAATAAAAGCTAAAGAAAAAGGCTCCATTTCCAATGTCAGAAGTGCCATAGCTCATCTAATGCCAAGACCCACTGAGGCTGCTCTAAATCTTCCAGCAGTAGCTGCCAGGACTGTTGTTCTTTCCAGGTAACAAATCCAGACACCCTCTTGCTCCAACTCACAGCCCAGGTAAGCAATTGTCTTTAATCCTGGACAATCAGAGAAGCCACATCCAAACCCTCTGATTACTTTTCCTGTGGGATACCTTGGCAGTTCTGCTGTAATTAGAGGACACTCTGGAGCATTTCCTGCATTTTGAATTTCCTCAGCTTCCATTTTGTTCTCTTTCTCTGTGTCAGCTCCATTGCCCCCACAGCTTGAAAAGGGGGGGCTTTCCTTGCCTGGTTCCAATCTCATCAGTTTCCTGGGAACCACCTCATTTGTCTCTTGCCTCACTTTACAAGATTGGTTTTGACTTTTATTAGAGGAATCTCTGTCTTCCAGCCTTTCTGGGCACAGTTTCTCAGCTGGAACAGACGTTTTATGAAGAAGCTCCAAGGCCTCCTTACGGGCTGCTCGGAGTTGTTGCAGTAACAGGCTCTTCCCTGAGCAATTCCTCCTGCAAAGGAAATAAAAACCTGATTTCATCAAGATAAAGCATTATAGGAATAAACTCAATCTCTGAGAAACTTCTCATATGATGAGAGCTCAAAACAAGGACTGGGTATCTACAGGAACAATAACTGTGGGTGACAGCAGTACCAGCGTTGAGGTGACACAGGAAGAGCCAGAACACAAAATCTATCTTCCTGACAATTTATTGGCCTCTTCTGCATCCAGGCACAACACAAACACCTACCAGAACAGCTCTGAACAAATGTATGGTTGGCATGTAAATCAGAGCCTATAGATGTTTGTCCCCTTTGGATACAGGGGTTGGGGTTCAAATACACACAGATGAAAAGTTTTTCTAATAATTATTACAATTTTTGAATGTTTGGCTTAATTTCCTCAATGAAACTGCTAAACTGTCAGCAAGTACATTACTGTGGTAGTGGAATGTCCTGTCATCACATAATCTACATGCACAGAATAATAATTCCTGTTTAATAATTTGTTCCAAATAAAAATGAAACTGGACAGACCCCTCGTGAATGAGATCAGAATTCTGCCCTGATGAGACCAAGAGGATTTCTTATTTACAACCAGAACTGAGCAGCATTTGCCAGGCATTATATTTGTGCATGCTCTTTAGCAACATTAAGGTGAATCAAAATCCAAGCTCTGCTCTCCATCACTGCAGATTTACACTGCTGGAATTGCTGAACTCATGTCTGTGGCACAGAGAGTTCCCCAAGCATCCCCTTGTCCCTGCTTTTTACTGGTTTTGGGTTAGATGCCCTAAATTACATTGTTTGGGCTTCTTGATTGGCTCATTGTTGGGCTCATTGTTTGGGTTCCTTGTCAAATCATCTCTCCTTCCAAACCATTAAAAGAAGTGTAAGTGGCTGGCACAAGAAGAAACATTTCTGCTTGTCCCCTGCCCTGCTGTGCTTTGAACTTCCAGGCTGCAGAATTCCAAATGGAATCCAGAGCCTGAGTGCAGGAGGATGGTTAAATTTGACACCTCTGCTTCACATTAAACAAATGTCTAATAACCTATGGATATGAATCCAGGAGTTTAGCAAGAAAGGCTGACATCTGTGCACGTTGAGAAGTTTACACTTTAGGATTCCACTCATCATTCTTTTTCCCCTTTCCCTTCCAATTAAGGAGAACTGGGAGGGTCCCTGCCCATACAGTGTAGTCAATATTCTCTTTAAATCTCTATCCCTTCTAGCCTATTTTATTGTTTCTAAAAATAAAGGTTTGTCTGAGTCAACTCCCTACAACATTTCCAAATTTTGGTTTTGAGTCTTGTCAAACACAGTTCTGGTGTCACTCACACAGGGCTGGAGAAAAACTCACATTTTTCAGCCCCCAGAGCACCTCTGGCTCTGTTTTCAGCTGTCCCAAGCAGCTGGACAAGTCCAAATATTGCCTCAAGGATCAACAACTCTCTAGCTTTGGTAGCTTTACCATGCAACAGGAAAAGAGTGACCTCCTGGGGCCACACTGGAGCACTTTGCATTACTGGGCTTTTATTTTTGTTTGCTGTGAAGACCAGGAATGGCAATATTCAAGTACACAAACTTTCACTCTAATCATTGTTAGGGCAATTGTTTTAGTTTCAGAAAAAATGAACATCCTATCACTTCGAACACAGTCCTGGTAAGGAATCTTACATTCTCCTTTCTGCTTCATCCTTAATTGCCACAGTTTCTTCTTCAGAGGAGGAAGAGCTGTCACTTACACTGTGAAAAAATCAGACCATATTAATTAACCCTGTTAGCTGAATGTTGGCTCTTAGCAATTTCTACGATGCAAATTTAGAAAATGAGGAAAAAAGGAAGAGATACTTCCAGGAAAGATCTCCAGGTGTTAGGGAGAGTTCTTCACATTATTACTCTAGCAAAAAGAAAAATTCAAATATTCAAGCAATTAGAACAAAAAAGTTTACCTGTTTATTACCTTGTAGCTGTTTTTTAACTACAAGGTTTCTCCTTAATGACAGAGGTGTGAAGAACATTTTAAAAGTTACATTTCACAAGCATGATATTCAGAAAGTTTTAAGTTTCTCACTTTTTATTACTTATTTCTGACTCTCAATAAAACTAGGATTTACCTTTGTTCCACTTCAGGGACTGTCACTGACTTTTGTGGCTCAGCATCTCTCAAATCTATGTAAACAGTTGCAGGTTTTGGCAGGCCCTGGAAACTCATCCTGCCCATCCTCAGAGAACTTGGTGGGGATGACAGCAAAGCAACATCCCTACACACAGAAAAGACGTTTCAGCATCTCCTCTGCCTTATCTACCCAAGCAATCCTGCAGGGAGTGGCTCAGGATCAAAACTGCACTGAGAAAGGAACTTTGTGCTTGGCTACCAACTCTGCTTCTGCCTGCTATCACAATTCAAGGATTCAACTTCCCCCAGGAACACAGATCACAGGCAGAATGAAGAGGGATATTTAGGTCTCAAACTGTGATACCACCAAATTGTTCTGGAGAACAAAGGCAGGAACCAGAGAGATCACAACTTTTAACATCTCAGTGTAAGAACGAGTTCCCCTTTCCTCTCTGCCTCTTCTGGCAATTCCATTTTATCTTCCCAGGCATACAAAGTGCAAATCATCCTAGTGGCTCTCCCTGCTCTGGCAATGAGGGTATTTTTCACCTTCCCCTCCACTCTTTCACTCATTATTTCTTCTACTGCCATCATTGATGTTGTTCCCTCTGAACAGCCGGAAAATGCTCTTCCTTCACACAGAAAGCTCCAAGAAGCACTGACATCTCTACTGATACCCCCAGAAAATCATCCTGTATATTTTTGCTCAATTGAGGTACCAGTAAGAGAAATTGGTACCCTAGATGACAAAAAAGGCTGGGCAGGATAATTGGCCTAGTCCCATTTTCCTGCCTTTCCCATTTATCCCAAGTGCCTGGTAAGGTTTAGACAAAGGTTGATGGAGAATGCCAAGGTATTTATTATCAAATGGAAATTAATCACTGAGTATTCCAACTCTAATATCAGCTTTCTGCAAGGCTACAGAGCAAAACCCATATGGAAGACCAGAGGTTGTCCAATATCCATTCTAGCAGCCAGGATTATCTGGGATATGTGACAGAAGAGGACTCACTTATTGTCCTGCTGTCCCTGGAAGGAGCAGAGCCTGGCTGATGGCCTCCCACAGGGAGGGGACACTGCCCTGGACTGCCTGGCACACAGCTCTCCCAGCTTTTCCATGAGCTCATCTTCATACTTCCTCCTGAAGGTCTCTGTGGAAGAGCAAAATAATCATCAGTTGTGATAATCTGCCATGGAATCACCCAATATATTCCCCATGTTCACACTGTTCCTGTTCCTACAGCCTGGCAGCAGGGGAAGTATAAAGATAATATTGTAACTGGCTTGTCTGGCCCATGGCAGGCTGTGAAGCACTGGCTTCAGGCTAAGAAACCTAGATGAAATCTTGAGGGAAGCTAATTAAACATGTTTTAGAAGCATTTAAAAAGCCCACTATGATTTCTGCATTCAAAATTATGCTGCAGGGAGTAACTTAAATACAGGAACCTGAGTTTTATTTATTTTTGTGCACTTTCAACTAGTGACATTACCATAATCTGCTGGGAAGAAAGCACGAGTTTTATCTCCCTGCTGCTCCAGCTCCTCAAGATTCTTGTCTACATCCCATTTCTCAATATTCTGAAAGAAGACAAGAGAAATGTGATGGAAAGTTGACTCCCAAAAGACCACCCCTAATTTCAGTGCCAGCTTGCTTTCAGAAGTTCCAGAGGAAGTGCTGTAAGGAAAGGAATGCATTTATTACATCCCCTCAAACACTGCATCACTCCAGATGCTTCAGCTACTTCTGCTGAGGCTCTTTCTCTGAGAATCATGAACCCTTTTGATAAGACTTCAAAAAAGCACTGGAGACAGTGAAACAGATTTAAAAGTGGCCTGATACAAGGCCAAGCATGTGCATTCTGATCCTGAATAATGTGAGAACTTCTCACTGCCACCCACAGGAGAAGGACTTGTGGCACTCCAGTTATTTGAGATTAGTCCTTTCCTTCCCCTCCAACTTCTGAGCAGGGTAAATTCCCATTGCTCTGGGTACAGTCAGTATCAGATGATATCTCACAGCTGCTCACCCACCCTGAAGAGAGGATCATCCATTTCCTTGCTCTGAATCCCTGGCTGAGGACACACTCATCTGACCCAGGTGCAAGAGGCTGCCATCAAAGTCCACGTGCATTTAAACCACTCATTGCTTTCCCCTCTGAATATTATTTGAAATTGAAGTTTTAATGAAAAGAATGCACACCCATGTGAAATACCATCACCAGAAATTAGAAGTGCTTACGAGTTTTATTGAAAGGAAGGGGGCTGTGAGTCGTGACAATGACACCACTGCCACAAACATGTATTTAACACAACCACTCATGGCCTTTAAAAAAACAACAGCAGCCTCCAAACCCAGCAGTTTCACCTTGTAAAACCTCCAGCATCTGCCCCTCTTGTTGAAGAGAAGGTTCTCCCTCCTCCCTGACCAATAAATCTTCACACATATCTGAGCCTTGATCAGATCTATTCTCCAGAATAGATGTTCCAGAAGGTTCAGAAGAAAATGAAGTGAAGGTTTGCACAATTTCATTTCTAATACAGAAAAGAACTTCAGGAAAAAAAAAAAAACAACAACAACATTTCAAATGAAGTGATAGGAATCAAGAAGAAACTGTATATTAGGTTAGCAACTTCACAAAAACTGAGGTGCCTGGCTGTGCTGGGGAGCAACAATCCCCTTCCAAATGAAAGTGAGAACACGCTGAGCCTCTCAGAACTCACCCCAAAGCACCAGACTTCAGCTCATTGAAGTCACTGACATCAAACAGGTAGTGCCTCCTGAATTAACAGAGACTGAATTCTGTGAGGTGAGCTGGGAATTACATCCAGACCCACTTGAAAAAGATGTCCTTCAATGATGCAGCACAATTTAACTCACTGGCCAGCAGCTGCATGATTTGCCTGGACTGAACAGCTCTAACATCAAAAAATTAATTTCTGTGAATACATGAAAGGGGAAGGGAAACATCTGTACTCTGACCTGTGGAAGGCTTTGAATAGAAAGATCAGGACCTGTTCTGTGCTGATTAAGTTCTAATGAACTTAAAAATCAATACAGGCAGATCTGTAACTCAGTGCTGAAGACAACCATCCCTGACTCTGGGCCACATTCCAGTTAACACTGAGCTGCTCATCCCACCTGCCTTCAGTGGGTGAGATTCAGTACTTCAGGAACAACCCTAAACATCTCCTCCCCACCAGCACCCCACTGAAAAGCCAGAAAGCTCCCTGTTTTAATGCGATTCTGCCTGGGACCTGAAAAACTCCCTGCCTTCCTAGGGACAGATGCTATGGTTGGCTTCCCTAACAGCTCATGGACCTTGCTGCAGATCCGTGGCTGTTGCCATGGTTTGGGCTTGCACTGACAGCTCTGGGACAGCCTTTGGTACCTGTGTATCACAGCCCTGTGGAGTGTCAGAACTGGGACTCCAGTTCCTCACTAAACTAGGGTTATGCAGGCACTGCACTGTGCCCCCAGCCCACCTGCAGCACCCCCCAAAGCTTTATTTTAGGGCCACTTGCCTGCAATGACAAAGGGGTCACTTCTCCAAGATACTCAGCTGAGGAGGTTGCGTCCTTTGCAAATCTTCCTAGACTGTTGTTGATGCCATGGGAGGGAGGCTTGACATCCTGCTTTGGGGATGGCTCCACGAGGACCTTGGTGAGTATCTTTGTCTCTATCAGCTTTTTTCTCTCCTCTTTACTGTACAGCTCTCCCACAGACACTGCTGTGTTAAGCCAGGAGTTCACTTTTTCCTTGGCCTGTGTCCTGCCCATTTCTTTCTCCTCAAGGTGATCTGTGGAATCTGAGGGAGACTCTTCAAGAACAGCTCTCTTTTGGCTTGGCATTTCTTCAGTCTGGCTGGCAGGTTCAGGAGCCCCATCTTTAATCATTTGTACATCTTCTTTTGCCATGATTTGGGCACCATCTGTTCTTTCCTGAAAGTCAAAACTTTCCAGGTCTCTGTTCCAGATCTCCCATGGAAGTCTTTCTGTCTCCTGGATTTGCTACAGGTAGAGAAAGCACAAACATAGAGAAAGTCAATCTCCCTGAGCTTTGGAAGTGTATAAAAAACCAAAACAGAGTGATTGGAAGGCAACAGCTCCAACTCAGACACCATATGGAAACAACCCACACCACGTCCCTCATGGAAAACAGTGAGACTGTTTACTTTCCAGAAACTTTGATTTCAGGAACTGCTAAACATCCTTTAAATTACTTTTTCTTATATGTGCTCATTATTCAAACCCAAACCATTCTATGATTTCATGGATTTATCTTTGTTGAAGGAACAATGTGATTTTATCCCAGAAAAGCTGTTCAAAGAGTAAACTTCATACTTTTCCTCTTTCCTGCACTGTCCTAATTAATTTTCTGGACACATAAAATGATTGCACAGGAATTAGTGCACAGGAAAAATTAATGCACAGGAAAGAAAAACAGTAAAGGGACAATAAAAGCTGCCAAGAGATGGGACAAAAAAAATCCAAAATCTCAAGAACAGAGAAAACTTTAAAGGGCCAATGCAAAAAGAGAAAAAAAGTTATATTTTCTAGTGAGAGAAAATACTGAGGACTAAGTTTTTCCTGTTCAGACAAATAGGTCAGACATCAGCAGCTGTCCACACTGGGGACAGCCAGAAGAGAGGGGTGACAGGACAGCCCACACACAACAGTCCCAACCTGCTCCTGGGAGTCTTCCAGGGAAAACATCATCAGCTCTTCCGACAGGTCCGGAATTAAGTTGGGCAGGTCCCGCTGGTAGATGAAAAGCTCCTCATCACTCTCACAATCAGACTGCAAACAGAATAAAACAGAGAAATTAAACAGGAGACTGCAATACTCACTGATATTGGAATATCTGGTTTGAAGTGACAGCTCCCATGTTGGCACCTCTTGAAGTGCAGAGACAAGAAGTTTCCTTGCAGTCGCACCTTTACTAGACAGTCTGGTAGCCCAAGAGTCACCAACCTCACATTTCAGCAAGTTACAAATGTAAAAACATGTAAAACATCAAATTCCCATGGAGGTTAATGACAAACCTCCTGCTGAGAAAAGCAAAGGAAAGTGTGGGAAGTTCTCTAACTCCCAAGTGATTCTCTGCACTACCTCATTCACCATCAGAGAGGCAAGAGCATAGCTGCTCAATATTTACAAGGGCCTGGAGTGCCAGGACAAGGGGAAATGGCTTCCCACTGCCAGAGGGCAGAGACGGATGGGATATTGGAAAGGAATTGTTCCATGGGAGGGTGGGCAGGCCCTGGCACAGGGTGCCCAGAGCAGCTGTGGCTGCCCCTGGATTACTGACAGTGTCCAAGGCTAGGCTGGATGGGGTTTGGAGGAGCCTGGGATGGTGAAAGGTGTCCCTGCCTATGGCAGGGGTGGAACTCGATGAGCTTTAAGATCCCCCCATCCCAAATCATTCTGGGATTCTCAGAAACTGGAAAGGCAAGGCCTCACCAGGCAAAGCCCAGTCCCACAGAACCCAAAAGGAACAAGCAGAACAGAGCAGGGGAATCTACCAGGCTGAGGCACAACTCCAGATCCTTGGGCAATATTGGAGTGATGAGGCTGGTCAGAGATCAAAACTGAAAGTCAATTCACAGGTGAAAGTCTGGCTCAGGCAGGATCATAACTAGAAAACCAAAACTTCCCTAACATAGCTCAGAGAAGGAGTGAAGGGCCAGAGCTGAGCTTAAATAGAGCTGCTGGAGCCCCAGGTGAGGCCAAGCAGGGCCATGAAGGCTTTTCACTGCCCTCAAGAGCCTGATTCCTGTTCAGAATACAAACAGCGTCTGTGTTTGGTCAGGCAGCATTTAGATAGCTCTGACAATCCCTTTTTTAAACATCAGATATGCATTGGAGATGAATCCTTATGCATGGACACCAAAAGGAGATTAAGCAGCTCCTCAGCAGTCAGGACACAGCTTTCCTGCTTGTCCCTTTGTTTTGCAAGTATGCATTTTTGGAATTCACACTGCAGAGAATCCACTCTGGTGTCATTAACACAAAACCAACTGCATCAGAACATCTTTCCTCTTAATAAATTGCATATCAGGGTAATGAAAGGGCTTCAGGGCATAAAACACATTTGTGAGTGCCATTTTTGGAGGTGGGAACAGAGCACGTTCAGGTGACAGCTCGCAATCTTTCCCACGTGGAAATTCCTCGGACAAAGGTGCAGCCCTGGAACTGCAGCCTCAGCAGGACAGGGATTACACAACCAGATCTTTTGAATACAAATGAAGTGCCAGACAGATTGCCTCAGTTCCTTCTGCAGGAAATCTTTTCCATGTGGGATAGAAACAGAGAATTTGGAGATTGTAAAGAGTGAAAAAAATGTTCAGCACGATTTGGGGTTCTTCAATGGTGTTTGGCACCAAAATCTGGAGCTGCTTAGCCTGGTTGTAATTTACTCAACAAGTAAACCTATAAATAATTTCAGTGTTGGGCTTTCATCTGTACTACAGAGGCACATGTTAAAAGGCAAGGGTTGTTCTAAATAATTATAACGGTGTAGGTAGAGGGAACTGAGAACAGTGTGGGAATGTGATTTGTCCATCATGACAGTGAAAGATGTAAGTGCAGAATCCAAGTCATGGAATCCCATCAACACTTTATCCAGCAGATCACACTGCTTTGGATCATTGGTAAATAATAAATACCCACTGGAGGCATTTCTGGCTCTTTCACATCTCACAATCTTCCCCTGCACCATTAATGTCTACACTAAGTTGGGATAAAATATATTCTTTGTGTGTTCAAAATGTTTTTCAAGTTTATACATGTACATATACGATGTTCTGATTTGGACAAAATGCCACTAATAATCAAATCTTGAGACACATTATCCCCTCAGAAAAGTCGATGCCAGAGAACTAGAGAAGAGCACCAGAGCAATGCTGTCCTGTGAACAGAGATTTCAGCAGCCAAGAACAGCCTGGCCCAGACCCAGCAAGCAAAAACCTGTACCAGTTAAGAACTCTGCACAACACCTCTCAGTCTCACACTTCATATGAAAAGGTTTCTGCAATTATGCTTCTTTGGCAGGTAAAAAGCACAAAAAAGCAACATGTCTTGTGGAGAACCAGCCTCAAGTACATAATAATCTGTGATATCATGGAATACCAAGATGGTTTGGGTTGGGAGGGACTGCAAAACCCATTCAGATCCACCCCTGCCATAGCCAGGGACACCTCCCACAGTCCCAGGCTGCTCCAAGCACTGTCCAACCTGGCCTTGGGCACTGCCAGGGATCCAGGAGCAGCCACAGCTGCTCTGGGCACCCTGTGCCAGGGCCTGCCCACCCTGCCAGGGAACAATTCCTTCACAATATCCCATCCATCCCTGCCCTCTGGCAGTGGGAGCCATTCCCTGTGTCCTGTCCCTCCATCCCCTGTGCCCAGTCCCTCTCCAGCTCTCCTGGAGCCCCCTCAGGAACTGGAAGGCCACAATGAGATCACCCCAAAGCTTCTCTTTTCCAGGCTGAACAATCCCAGTTGTCCCAGCGTGGCTCCCAGCAGAGCTGTTCCATCCGTCTGCTCATCCTGGAGCCTCCTCTGGATTTGCTCCAGCAGCTCCAAGTCTGTGCTGGGCCTCAGGGCTGGAGGCAGCTCTGCAGATGGGGCAGAATCCAAAGAATACTGGGAGAGGAGGTGGCAATTACACTTGGGTAATTAAGGATAATCCAGAAGGCTGTGGATTAACACACAGTGTTCTGTAGCAAGGACAGGCAGCCCACCCAGGATACCACACCAGCCACCCCAAAATGCCTGATAAGGTCACCTGCTCTTGCTTTTGAGAGTTTTTTCCCACAAGCCAGAGGGATTTTCAATGCTTACTGTGGAGGAGTCGGAGTCCAGGGATGGGAGCTGGTCTTTCACTGCAGCAAGGAAGGTTCCCCACTGGAATGTCCTGTTCCCCTGCACAGGAGCTGCAGGAGGCTCAGCTGCATGTTCTGCATCCTCACTTTGTGCTTCTGAGGCCATTGGAACAGCTTCCCTTCAAACAAAGGAAAGATGAGCCTAAGGACAGCTCTCCAAACATGAGATAACATCAGTTCAAAACAAGGACAAGGTGTGTGTGGCCAGAGAGTGTGTGTGGCCAGAGCAGAGAATTCCCAGCACACCCAGCAGGAAATGTTAAAATCTGCATTTCTGGAGCTATTCCTTTCCACCCGAGTTCAGAAATGGCTAAGAGCTTTCTGCCCTACTCACTACAAACACCCCAGGGGCAGTTTAGCCCCTCATTTATAAGGAATTTTGTTTTGATTCTCAGCCAGAGTGCTGTAACTGTGTCCTCTGCAAGCCTGTTCCCGTGTTCTGCCTGCAGGGATGGGACAGGAACACAACAAAGGCAGGCTGACACCTCTGCTCTCAGATGGATTGACTCCTCTTCCCAATTTCCCTCACATTCCCCTCCTCCCTACTCAAAAGATAGATAAAATGATCACAAAGTCATGGAATCTCATAATGGTTTGGATTGGAATGGAGCTTAAAGACTCTCTTGTTCTACCCACCTGCCATGGGCAGAGAACCTTCCATGTGATTCATGTTTACTTTTGTTTTCACTGGACTTTTATTTTTAAAAACAGTAAAGAATAGGCACATTCATGGATTTTGACCACTCAAAGTGTTTATAAAGTGGACTCTTTCCTCCTGTTCCTTGATGTCCATGAGAAGCTGAGACAACACAGTAGGAACTGCAGCTGCACTAAGAGGTCAGATCATTCACCCTCACAGAAAAACTTTACATTTTATACTACAATCACATGGTGTTCTGGGCAGTCAAACATGAGAGGAAATGATTTCTGGTTCAGAGGTGTCACAGAATATCCAGGGTTGGAAGAGACCCACAAGGACCATGGCAGGTTGGTGACTGTGAGTAACTGACACTGTTATCTGCATTGGCCACGAACACGCCTCAAAAAGTGAAGTTAAACTCAACTATCCCCCTGGGAAGTTTATAACTTTCAAATTGCTTCTGTAGATACTTCATAGGCCTCATCTATAGTAGTTTTGTTGGTGTGAGACAATGCCTGAATTTCACTTAGATAAGAAACAGGGAAATCCTCCTGGCTGGAGCACTGTGCTCCGACACTGAGCAGAACTTGCCAAGGGTCAGAGGAGCCCCATGGGGATAAAACAAACTGCCTAGTGTGGCTCCCTGTGCCAAATTCTGAGATAAATATCCCAAGGTTATAGATGGACACTGAATCTGACTTGTCAGTCAGCTAATGCAGCATCTTCTGTAGGAGCAAACAGTGCTCTGTGTCCAAAACAAACACTTAGCAGTAGCACAACAGGCATTTTCTGTAGAGCTTGTGCACGGTAGGGCGAAGGTTGGACTTGATGATCTTGGAGGTCTTTTCCAGCCTTAACGACTCCGTGACTCTGAGACTTGAAACCCTGAGCTTCTCCTTGTCCCCAGAACTGACGTTTGCCGGTTAGGAGAAGCGGTGAGGACAGCCGCAATGGTGGGAGGCAGAGCTTGGCTCCGGCGCTGAGCCCCGCAGCCCCGGGCCGAGCCCCGGGCCAGGGACGGGGCTCGCCTGGGGGGCCCCGCTCACAGCCCCGCAATGGCGGCGCACGCCCACCGTCCCCATGGCAACGCGGCTCCCGGCCCCGGGCCCCGCCCCGCTCCCCTGCCCTCACTCACGGCGCCCACAGCCCCGCTCAGCGCCGGGCGGGCCGGGCCGCGGGCACAGCGAAGCGGCGGCACCGGGACGAGCGCAGGGCCGGGACAGCCGCGGGGCCGGGACAGCCGCGGGGCCGGGACAGCCGCGGGGCCGCTGCTCGGGGCCGCTCCGTGCAACCGCCCGCCACCAGCCCCAACGCCATTGGCTGCCCCGCGACACGCCCCTCACACGGGCTCCTCCCATTGGCCCGGCGCCGCGGGGGCTCTTGGGTGTTGTAGTTCGCTGCCCGTGAGGGCGGGGGCGCTCCCGGCATGCCTTGCGCTTGGGGACTGGTTCCGGCGGCGGCGCTCACCGGGCGCAGGTGAGGGAGCGGCGGGGCTGGGGCGGGACAGCGGCGAGGAGCGGCGGCGCTCACCCCTGGGGCCGGCCCGGGCACTCCCGGCCTCCCTCCACTGTGCCCGTGGCCGCACTGCTTCCTTCCCGCTCGCTGCAGTCTGCGATGCTGAGGCCGCGTTGCTAGCAGGGCCGCGAGGGAGGCAGGTGCGGGGCTAACGGCCCCGGAGCCGTTTGCTGCGAGATGTTCGGTAACAGCCGCGTGGCGGCCGCTCTGGCAGCCGCTGGGCTCGCCTCAGGTGCGTGGTTGTGTGAGCGGAGCGTGGCCGGGCCGAGCCCTGCGGGGGCCGTGTCCGGCGGCCTGGGCGGGCACAGCCCCCGGCAGGGGAAATGTGCTCCCTGATGTGGCTGCTCGGTGCTTTCGTGCCTCTTGCCTCGCTTTTCTGAGGTTGTTTGATGTGTTTTAATGTGCCCGAGAGTGACAGGCTCGTGGTAGAATCGCTCAGCTTGGAAAGGGCCTTTAAGGTGATTGAGTCTAAGCATTAAAAGATGAAAAGCTTGGTGTGTTTTGTGTATTTTCAACAGATGTGGGTAGGATTGAACTCGAGTGTTGTGAATCCAGGAATGTTTCCTCTCACCAACCTCAGGAACCTGGTGTGGTTCCTGCAGCTGTGAATTGTGCTAGCTGAGTCAGTCAGCAAATGATACTCTGCAAAAATGAGATGTTCTGGTTCCTGTTGTGGCTGAGCTGGTAACAATTGCACCTAAAAAGGGAAGTAATGGGGCCTTTTTAAGCCCCTTGATAAGTTGTTGCTGGTTTAGTGGAAATAGAGCAAAGTCAGGAGCAGAAGGGGAGTGTGTTCCTGCTCTGTTCTGCTCTGCCCTGGTGGGGCCTCACCTCGAGTCCTGGGGGCAACCACAATATCAGAAGGATCTAAAGCTGTTGGAGAGTGCCCCAAGGAGGAGCAAGGGGAAGGGTCTGAGGAGCAGCTGAGGGCACTTGGATTGTTCAGCTGGAGAAGGAGACTGAGGGCAGAGCTTGATTCCCAATCAGGGAATGGCTGGAGCTGGGTCAGGCTGGATTTTGGGAAAGGTTCTCCCCCCAGAGGTGCTGGGCACTGCCCAGCCTCCCCAGGGAACGGGCACAGCCCCAAGGCTGCCAGAGCTCCAGGAGGGCTTGGACAATGATCTCAGGGATGCCCAGGGTGGGATTGCTGGGATGTCTGTGCAGGCCAGGAGCTGCCCTGGATGATCCCTGGGGGTGCCTTCCCACTCAAAATATTCCATGACTCTCTCATGTCAGTTTGCTGGCTCAGTTGGAACCTCCAGCAGTCTCCACGCTTGTGCTGCCTTAGGTGTCCCTATTTTGGGACAGAAGGACACGTGTGGATGTCACCAGTGCTTGTGGGAGGGGGTGTGACAGAGTGAATTGAGCTGAGCAGTGCCTGCTGAGGGTGATTAACAGCCGGTGTTGCATTTGTTCTGTGTTGGGGGCTGGTTGCTCCTCAAATCTCCTTCCATTTATTGTAGTGTGGCTCTAAGGTGCTTGTTGTGTCAGTTTTCATACTATGTTTATTTTTTTTCTGCCTTCTGGTGTGCTCAAACAGCAAACTCCAAATCCAGGGAAGTGGGGTTTGTTGCCTGCTCTATGCCCCAGCACTGTAGAGCTCTAACCCTGAGAAATAGCTGAGTGCTGATGGATTAAATTTAATATAATAATAACAGCAGCCTTACAGGTGTCATGGCTTGACCCCAGCTGGTTACCAGGTACCAGGCTGCTCCTTTTCCCTGCTCCATCCCAGTGGGATGGGGAGGAGAATCAGAAAAGAAAGTAAAAAACCTCATGGCTTGAGGTAACAACAACTTAATTATTGAAGCAAAATAATAATACTATAATGATAATTATCACGAGAAAATAAACCCATACGAAACTCAAAAGCAAAAGGATTGCTCAGCACCTGCTGATTCCCATCCCATGTCCAAGCTATGATTGGCCCTCCCAGGCACGTTCCCCAGTTCATATACTGGGAGTGATGCTCTGTGGAATGGAATATCCCTCTGGCCAGTTTGGGTCAGCTCCCCCCTGGCTTCTTGAGCACCTCCTTGTTAGCAGAGCATGGGAAGCTGCAAAGTCCTTGATTTAAGGTAAGCACTGGATAGCAGCAACCAAAGCATCAGTGTGTTATCAGCATTCTTCTCATCCTAAATCCAAAAGCAGCCTGTGCCAGCTGCTGGAAGGCAATGAACCCTATCCCAGCTGAAAGCAGGACAACAGAGCTGAGGGAGGCCTCTAACAAATGTGAACTTCTGCCCCAGAGCAGGGGAACAGCCTGTGAATGTTCAGGAGGTCTTTGTCAAACTTATTCTTAATATTGGGTTCTGTTGTGGCTGCCTCATCCCTGGAAGTGTCCAGGACCAGGTTGGACAGGACTTGGAGTAACCTGGAATACTGGAAGGTGTCCCTACCCATAGCAGGTGGTGGAACAGGATGGGCTTTGAGGTCCCTTCCAACCCAAACCATCCTGGTATTCTGTGACATGATGCATTATTATGCTTGTGTCACATGTCCCCTCCAGGCTCCTCCTCTTTGCACCAGATAACTCTGATTTTGTTTCATTCAGGTCTTTTCAGTTCAGTTCTGAGAGTTGTGATCACTGTTGTTGTCCTGGAGATTGTGAGCAGCTGTCCTCAGGTGATTGCAGAGCTGACGACTTGCTAAAGTTCAGTGTGAGAAGCTTTAAAAAAATAAAAAGCAAATATGTAGGCAGAGCACAGGAGAGGTGTAGGAGGCTGAATGTCCTGGATGTTCTGTCCTGTCCTTATTGCCCTGCTGACTGTGGATCACCTCACCAAGGCTGCATTGGTAACTTGTACCTGAGAGTGGCTGATTCTGACAAAGACCAGACACCTGAGTGATTTATAATTAATGTACCCAATTAACATGGAGAGTAGAGAACAATGAGCTAGACTTGCACCTAAATGTACTTCTACAAACCGCCCTGGATTCTACCTCCTTTCACTGCCTTTTGGCCTCCCTGGGGCAGCTTTAATCTGCTTTAGTGAGAAATTCCTACTTTGCCCCTTATGATCCACTTCAATCCACTTAGCTCTCCTTGTGTTTTGATTGTGAGGTGGTCAGGCCCTTCCCTTGTGCTCTGCATATTCCTGTCTGAGGCCTCTGGGTTGCCCAGTGCACTACAAATTCCTGCTGTCAGGCAAAGTAGGTGCTTTTGCAGGTATTTTTAAAGGGAAATAATTTCTTACCAGCTGATGGAATAGAATAGATGGTGCTTTTGTAGTCTTAACAAGCTGAGAATGAAGGAGGGGAAGAAAAGGAAGGTGGGAGAGAAAGGATCCAGGTGGGGAGTGAAGAGGTAGGAATGAAAGGTGTTTTCTTATAAGAAAAGGGGATGGTGCTTGCAAGGCAAATATTCCCAGTTGCTCAGAAAACAGGACTATGGTCTTGAAGTGTTACAGCTGAGGAGCAGCTGCTGCTGAAAAACCTGTTCCTGCTCTCTTTTATTCCTCACCAGTGCCACATTTGGCATTTGCCTGACCCCAAAATGAATCCAAGGAGTTAAATTGGTGAGAAGTTACCAGGAAGAAGAAGGACTTTATGTTGTCTTACCTTATGTAGAGGGACCAGGCAAACCCCAGGAGAGCTGTATGGTGGGCAGTGAGACTACAGGGAGGGAAAAGCAATTCCCATGGGATTGCCTGGAACAAGCTGCCCAGAGAGGCTGTGGATCTCCTTCCCTGGATATATCCAGAGCCCACCTGGACACAGCCCTGTGTCAGGTGCTCAGAGGGCCCTGCTTGAGCAGGGAGGTTGGGTGAGGTGACACCCAGTGGTCACTTGCAACCCGAACCACTCTGGGGTTCTGTGCTGGGGGCTGGATTCTGTGTCCTGGAGCTGCAGCTGAAGCCCTCAGCTGCTGGATACAGCTGTGCTGAGCTCTTCATGGAGTGAAGAAGAACACTCCTGTGGGAGGTTCAAATGATCAGTCTGCAGTTGCTCCCCAAGGCTGGGACTAGGATAAACCTTTCAGGCAGTCCTGGAGCTGGAGGAGCTGTGTAATTAAGGAGGGGGGGTGTGCTTGGATAATGAATGGGTAGGTGCACTGCTGCCCCCAGTGTTTCAGCATTTTCCAGGATTCACTGAGATGAGGCTGGGCTGCCTCTGAAGGGCTGAAACAATAAATGGTAGAAACAATCTGCTTACAACCTGATGACAGTGGAGGGTACACCCTCTTCAGGTGACAGAGTGTTTTGGGAGCAGTGGGCAGTTGTCATTATTAATGACTGTGTCTTAATTTAATCAGGACCATCCTATAATGCAAGACAGATGGACAAGACCAGCAATGTCTGACATATGAATTCTTAATTCTCTCCCTGCATTATAAAACATGCAGAGCAAGAATTACATCCTTTTGTAAAACACTAAGCCTACCTTCAGCTCTTAAATAGATGTTTAGTCTTCTCTTGCCGAGGTTATTTAAAGCTGCCTTAGACATATTTGGATTAGGCAGGGAGGAAATAAAGCTGCTGCTTCTGCAGTCTTAAAATGAGATTAGAAAGATGTGGGGTTTAGCATTATTGACTTTTATTTTTCCAGTGTATTGGAATCCCAGAGTTCTCTACAGCAAGAGAAAACTTCCAGCAAAGTCTTTTCAGCAGCAGTTGGTTTTTCGGGGTGAGGAGTCAATCAAAGTTGAGGTAAGAATTTGAAACCCCACACATCTGAGCTGGCCTCACCTTCCAAGCCAATGGCAGCTTGGAGCTGTAATCGTATGGAAAACAGGGATCAGCAGCTGAGTGCTGTGCTCTGCTTTGGCTCCTCAGGGCAGGATGTCGGAGCTGAGTGACGAGGCCAGCGAGTCGGAGCTGCTGAGCCGCAGCCTCTCCATGTGGCACGGGGTGGGGCCCGTGCTGTGCCGGGAGGAGCTGGACGTGCCCCTGGACCTGCACACGGCCTCTTCTGTCGGGCAGTACCAAGTGGTGCAGGAGTGCATCCAGCGGTGAGAGGGGCTGGCTGGGGCACAGCTGGGTGCCACCTGCTGCAGGTGTGGCTGTCACCAGTGCCACACTGGTTGGGGCAAGAGGGACAAGTCACTGGGACTCCCAGAGTGTTCTTGGCACAAAGCTTGCAGGGGCAAATCTGCTGATAAAAATGAGCTCTTTAGTATTTTAGTAGGAGGCGTGTCCCCGCCATGGCAGGGCGGGGGGTGGAATGAGGTGGTCTTTAAGGTTCCTTCTTTCCTAAAGCATTCTGTGATTCTGCAATCTGGGGCAGGTTGTGCTGGAGCTGGTAGAAATTCCCATGCAGGCTTCAGTGCTAGATGACAACAAGAGTCTGCAGAAGCCAGCTGTGGTCCACAGCACCAGCACAGTAGTTCAAATGACTTCTTTCTTCTGTTTCTTAGTGGAGACCTGGATTTGAACCAGAGGAACTGTGGGGGCTGGACCCCACTCATGTACGCTTCCTACATCGGCCACGACAACATCGTGCACCTGCTGCTGGAAGCAGGAGTGAATGTGAACATCCCCACCCCAGAAGGCCAGACTCCCCTCATGCTGGCCTCCAGCTGTGGCAATGAGAGTGTTGCTTACTTCCTTCTACAGGTGTGTAGCCCATAAAACACAGGTAAAGCCACAGCACGTGGTTTAAGTGCTCAGGGTGAGATAATCCACAAGCTGCCACTTTGTGTTCTGTTGTGAGGTCTGCTTTGTGGTGGGATTTAATTTAAACTCTCGGTGTCCCAGCATAAAGAGGCAGTGGCTGAAAGCCTGAGCAGAGCAGATGCAGTAAGGAATATTGTCTGTTCTCTTGCAGCAAGGGGCAGAGCTGGAGATGAAGGACATCCATGGCTGGACTGCCTTGTTCCACTGCACCAGCGCCGGGCACCAGCAGATGGTCAAGTTCTTACTAGAGAATGGGGCAAATGCCAACTGCAAGTAAGGAAGAATCTGTTATTTTACTGTCTTTTAGTTGTCATTTATCATTCAGTATGAAGGCAACAGGTGGCAGATGAACACACTCCAACAAACAGCTGCTTTTGTCTTCCCCCTGTACTTCAGGGTGTGGCACAGCTAACACAGGGACAGTTGACCTGCAAACTGAGTTGAAGTCTGCCCATGCTGCCACTGTTTATTAAGCTAAGATCAAGGGAAATTAGATTTACTGCTTGTTTAATGATCAGCTAAACACTGACACCTTCTGAACTCAAGTGCACTTCATAGGTCTTTTTTATTGATTTTTTTATATACTCAGAGTTCAGGTTGGTTTTTGAAGTGTGCCCTGCATTCCCATGCCTTGAGGACCACCACACATTTATGCACATGGAATTGCATGAGGGCAACAAGAGGTTCTTATTTTATTAGCTCCTGCAAAACTGATTTGGGCTCTTAAAGGCAGATCTGCAGCTGGAAGAGTAATCTGCTGCTGTGCAGCCAGTTTAGGAGCACTGAATCTCTACAGGGAATTAATTCTACAACAGGACAGCCTGTACATCATAGTCTGTGATCAGCAAAGGTTGAGGGGTGGAAATGCTCTGTTAGGGAATGGCCAAACTTCAGCTATGGTTATACCAGTCCACGTGTGTGTTCTCTCCCCAGGGAGCCAGTGTATGGATACACACCTCTAATGGAAGCAGCTGCTTCTGGCCATGAGATAATTGTTCAGTACCTTCTCAATCATGTAAGTGTCCTGGCAGTTTGTGTAGCTGAAAGTCTGGTTCCGGCCCTCAGAGGAACTAGCACAAATTTGACACCATGCTTTTTTTGGCAGTGTTGTTTGCTCCTTGATGACAGTCACCTCTGAAGTCCCAGACTTTCAGGACTGTTTTCAAAGTATCTGCTTTCTGCAGGGTGTTACCATGATTTTACACTGGCCTTGCAGGAAGAGAAGTGAGGTCTCACTGTCCAGATATGACTGAATTAGAAAACAACCGAAGCTGTAATTTTTCTATTGTGTTTACAGGCTTGCATGCTCAGGCTACTGGACATCTGCATCCAAAAGCTCATGAGCATGCAGGGCTCTTAGACAGTTTGGTTTAAATCCCATTTGACTAGTCCAGCTTACTGCCAGAAGGAGGCAGCAATGCAAAACACTTCAGATCAAACAAACCTGTTCCCAGTGGCAGAGCCCTGGGCTATTTGGCATTCACGAATTGGAGAAACTGGGGATAACTAGAAAGGCATTCAGGGTATTAGTGCAGCTTGAACTGTCTGTCAAAGATGAGCTTGTATTGCTGATGGAGGAGCTAAGACATTTCTGGGTTTTTTTAAATATACATATGTATTTTTTACACTGCTCTCTGATGTGTGCACTTAACCAGGTATTTTTCCTGCAGGGAGTGAAGGCAGATGTCAGAGATAACACTGGAGCCACGGCACGGACCCTGGCCATGAAGTATGGCCACACCAAGATTGTGGGGCTGATAGATTTGCATGCAGCCCCAGTGCCCAAGGTCTTCTGCAGAGGTCCAGGTAACAGATGTTCAACCTGCTTCATTTTAAGATGGAACCTGAAGTGAGGTGTTTGATAGTTTGAAAGTATGTTATACTGTGTAGATGGGGTAGTGCTACCTGGTCTGTCCTGGAAATTCCAGCATTTCTGAGGATGGAAGAGGCACGAATCCAACAACTCTTGTCTGCTGGCCCCTTTCTGACCTAGGTTAGCTGTTTCACCCTTACTCTTCAACATTTCTCTTTTTCTTTCCACTGCACTTACAGGACCAGTAACAAGTAAAACAGGCAAATGACTTCCTGTGCTGCTAACAACCTGTGTTTGAACTACAGGCAACTATGAGGAGCTGAGTTCTTCAGATGAATCATATTCTGCTCCCCAGAGACAGAGACCTGCTCGTAGGACCAAGGGTCCCAGCATCCATGAGGGGCCCCAGGCCTTGGCCAAGATCACAGCAATTGGCATGGGGAGATGGAAGCAGTCTTGCTATGGTGAGGAGAGTTGGGAGCCTGAGGGACAGTCCCCTGAGACCTCAACAGCACTGCAGCTGTTTCTGCTATCTGTTATTAATTTATTGGGATTCATGTGTGGTTTGTACAGAACAAAGATAACTTTGTATGAAGATGTTCGCTATCCAGTGTCTGGGTTAGAAAGAAACCCCCCTGAACTCTTTTGTCAAGGCTGGATATTGATAAGTGGGATACTTTTCTATCCTGACCTCAGCTACTGTTCTTGTGACTTTTGAGAACAGTTCAGTTTCCCTTTTTAGGCAGGCTCAAAAGTTTGAGATTCCTTCTAAAGCTGATGGCAGGGAGGTGCTCACACCGGCCGAGAAATCATTGATCATAAGAGTGAACTTGTGAGTTTTGCCTTCCCTGATGCTTGAAATGCTTCTAAAAATGAAATTGCAAAACCTTTGCAATAAGCCAAGAGAAAGATGATCCCAGTTAGACATCCTGGATGCAGCACTAGGAGGTTTGTTTTACTGTCTGTCATAGGTATTTCTCAGACTGGTTGCCTGGAATAACCCAAGATTATGGACTCGAAAGCATGTTCAAAGCTTAGTTCATTCTCTTAAACACGAGTCTGTGTTATCCCCCAGGCTGTATTGGAATGATACTGTCAGCTTCTTAAATGCCAGTGGAATTCTCCTGGTGTTTTAGCACAGCTACAGGGGGAGGTGGTTCTGCAGGGTGTGCCACGCTACTCTCCTAAGCTGTTTCTCCCCTTTCATAATTTGAGTATAAGGAGAGGGAGTGCTGGAAGCTGCTGTTTAAGGTACATCTCTGCTATAAAGTATTTTTCTCTGATTTTCAGTGTAAGCATGTAAATGAAGTAGATGTGCTGTGGAGTCATGTGAGGGAACTGCAGGAACCTGCATTTCTCAGGTGCTCTCTGTGCTTTTTAGAAATAAACTTGTCAGTTACGAGCAGAGTCTCTCATTTTGGTTATTTTCAGACCCAGAAGTGTTGACATTTTCTGCAGGAGCCTCCCTGATTAACTTGCATCCTAATCTCTGTTCTCCCTTCTTGCTGCACACAGAGCAGGTGCCCCCTCAGGGCTATGTCACCTTCAGCAATGACGGCAGCTGTGCGTCAGGTGTCATCCGGAACAGGGACGTCACCTCCCCGATCAACGAGCTGGACGTGGACAGCAGCAGCAGCAGGGGTAAGTCACTGCCTCAGAAATGGTCCAGCCTGCAGTGCACACCTGGGTGTGAGTCCAGGCCTTGGCTTCCTTTCTCACTAAGATGCTTCCTTAGGGAAGGCTGGGAAGGTTTAGCTATAGAAGATACAGCCCAGTGTGGTAATTTCATCAGTTTGTACAAATAGTCTGAAGGAGGGTGGGAACAAGGCAGAAATGGGTGTTTCCAGAAGTGTCTCTGGTGGTAAACAGACTTGGGAAAGATGAGTGCTGGGGATCAGATGTGAAATCTGCCTCAGGGTCATCTTGTATCCTGAGTACTGCACATGAAGCCTTGCTCTGAATCTTGCCTTCCTTTACACCTCCAGGAGGTTTTGCTGGTAATGGTGTAACAAAACCAGAATGTAATGAAGTTGTACTTCAATATTTTTTTCCTATTCCTTTCCAGAGGATAGTGCTTTGTCCAGCAACAGCTTGGGAACCATCAGGAGCAGCAGCAGCAGCAGTGAATGCCTAATTAGAATCCCAGGAGTCAGCAGTGAAGGCTCCTTGGAAAGCAATGAGGTGGATTTTCTTTTTTCTGCCTTCAGTTTGGACAGTGCTTTCACCCTTGGGAGACTCGACTCCCATGGGAACCTGTAGGACCAGGCTGGGTAAGGAAAGGTTCTTCCAGGGACAGGAAGACCAAGGAAGGGGAAGAGGTTGGAGGTTACTCACAGTTCACATGGGTCAAGGCAGCTCTGGGGCTGCACTACAAAGGGCCTTTAGGTCGTAGAGGAGCCTGCACTTGTTAGGCCCCCTGATCTGACATCTCTGCACAATCATCCTTTCCATTCTGTGGGTGGTTTTTTCTTTTCCAGGACTCTGACCACGCCAACAGCCCCCCGAGTCGGAAACAAGCCAAGAGCTTTAAGGGCAAGACCCGCTACAGCAACAGTGACAGCCAGTGGAGCCACTGCCTGGGGAAGGCTGGGGGCTGCTGCCAGCACCTGGTCCTTCCTGAGCCCCCGGCCTACACAGGGCCCCAGGTAACCACAGATTTGTCCTGCAGGTTTGTCACTGTACCAGGTGTGGGAGGCTTTTCCAAGGTTACCAAAACACCTTGTATTCCAAACTTAAATGCTTGTGAAACAGTAATTCCTTGTAGAGGAGCTGTTTGCTGACATGTTGCTGTTGCTTGGAGGGGTTTCCTAGACCCTTCAGGCCTGTGAGTGGGCTATCAAACCTGGCAGTGGGGTGGGCTGAGGTAGCTGATTCTGTGTCATTCTGCTATGCACTTGTTAGAAGAGGCATGGCTGCAGCAGAGACCAGTCCTGGTGTGTGACTGTGGAGAAGGGCAGGGAGCCACCACGGGAGGTTGTGGTTGCTGCTGGAACCCAGAAAGGTGTTACAACAGCATGAGGAAGCAAATATTTATGATTAGGAGGACTGGTGATGCTTTTGTTCAGAGGGTGTAAATAAGTTTGTTTTGTCTGGGCTGCAGGACCTGGCAACATTCCTTGAGGAGATTGGATGCCTGAAGTACCTGCAGGTATTTGAGGAGCAGGACGTGGACCTCCGGATCTTCCTGACCCTGACAGAGAGTGACCTGAAGGAAATAGGCATCACGTGAGTGTCTGTCCTTCCATCCCAGCTTCCCCCTACAAACCATGTCCAGCCTGGTCAGGAAGGTTTAGCTGGGGAGTGCTGCTCTCTTCTGGCTGCCTCCCACACAATTGGACATCCCCATGTCCTCGGCTGTAACACGCTCCTGCTTCTAGAGGTACCTTGGAGACACCAGGACACTGCAGAGGTCCTCGTGGCATCCTGTTGGGCTCAGGGCCGGGTGGTGCAGGGCTTGACCCGTGTTGGTTCCATCCCCCCAGGCTGTTTGGCCCCAAGAGGAAGATGACCTCGGCCATCGCGCGCTGGCACAGCAGCGCCCGCCCGCCCAGCGACGCGCTGGAGTTGGCCTACGCCGACCGACTGGAGGCAGAGATGCAGGAATTGGCCATCCAGCTGCACAAGGTGAGGCTGCTGCCAGCTCCTCAGGGCCCTCCACCCTGCAGGAAGTGATCTGTGCTGTGTTTTTGTTGTGCCTCTGATGGTTTTTCCTTCACCTAAAGCCACAACTTATAGTGGATGTACTTGGTGTACAAACAGCACAAGTACAACTTGCCACTCCTCATCCTTGGTGCTCCTTTGTGTCTGTTTCCCATCCAGCTGAGAGCTATAGGAAACAGGAGCAGGGATCAAATCCCTACTCCTTCCCAGCAGTGTCATGTTTATGGTGAAGTGATGCAGCCATCAGTGAACAAACTTGTGTTGTTTTGGGAAATTTGGACTCATAAGTAACTTTGTAAACAGAGCAAGAGGGAATTGTAACTGTGGGGTTGGGTTTATTTTGGAGAGAATATTTACTCAGTGTACAAGCTTCATCCAGCTTCCTTTCCACTGGAAAGGAACATTCTGGCTGCTTAAGGCATTAAAATAGCAGGGACTTGAGAGATGTTCAGTGCTCCCAGCCTGATCCCCAGTGTGCTCTGCTGCAGAGGTGTGAAGAGGTGCAGGTGATGAAGGGCCAGGTGTGCCAGGAGCAGAAGCTGCGTGCAGTGGCCGAGAGCTGTTTGATGGAGCGGGATGAGACCTGGAATGCCATCCACTGCCAGCTCAGAGAGGCTCAGGCCATCACCAAGGATGCTGGAGTCCTGCTGGATCAGATCAAGTAAGTCATTCCCAGGAAGTGACACTGAGACTGCTGGGAAATGGGGTTTGGGGTTATATTGACAGCCTTACAGGTGATGCTCAGGGTAAGGCAGGAGAGCTCACCTGGCACATGAACACATCTGGATCCTGCCTGCCTTTCCCTAGTGAAAAGCCACAGCCATGGGAGCACACATGAAATTTTGGTCAGATGCATGAGCTGGAAGTGGCCTTTTTGTGGGTGCTGGGTGTTCCTGTTTCAACTAGAAGTAACAAAAAGGCTGAGGCTGTGCCTACCCAGGGTAATACTTGGTGATCAGGACCTTTTTGAATAGAAAAAGGAGTTTTTAACCCGTACCCTGACAAAGGATGTGCAGTAACTTGCAAGTGAAGAATATTTTTCTTACAACTCTGTAACAGCTGGCAGAATAATCTGAATAACCTCCTGACACTCCTTTTACTGACTTTGTGGTGCTTTTCTCTGTGCCACAGTTGGACTCCTGTCATGGGCCTTGTTCTGTCCAGTGATACAATAGGGAGATCCCTGAAAGTGGCATAAATCCTGCTGCTTATGGATCCTAGCCCAAGGAGTGGCATCTGCTGTCTGCCAAGCCAGGGAGAGCTGAAGTTGGCTCCAGAAGCTTAGCAGAGCAATATTGCCACTGCAAGGGGCAGAGCCTGGCTTTTCCCCCTGACTGAGGAGCTGAGGCTGCTGTAGAAAGGGCCCTGCCATGCTCTGAATGTACGCTGCTTGAGTTGGTGGGATGGTGATGACAGTCCGAGAACCTGGGTGCCCCTCATGCCTGTCCTGAGGTCGTTCCCTTTGCCCATTAGAAACCTTGGATTGGGCCTGATTCTCCCACAGACCAACACAGCCCCTGGCTTGGGCTTCCTGCTGCTCACCCCAGCCCTTCCTTATCTTGTCCCCCCACAGCTCCTCTGTGCACAGGGCAGAGCTGGCTGTGGCTGCAGATGGGGAGCAGTGGCTGGGAGCTGAGCAGTGCCAGCACCCCAGGCTTGGGCTGAGGCACCACTTCCTCCTCCCGGGAAGCAGCAAGGAGCAGGTTGTACCCCAGGGCCTTAGAGGCGCTGCCCGGGCACCCCATGCAGGTACTGCAGGCTGTAGGAGTGTGCAGTGTCACTGCCAGCGTGTCCCTGGGTCCTGCTGATGGCTTTGGTGTGGTTTGGCAGGAGCTGCCAGGCAGAGCTGTCATCCCGGCTGGCCCCGGAGCGGGCGGGCGATGGAGCGCCGGACACACGGGAGCAGCGCAGCACCGGGGAGAGCCGGCGGCCCGGGGAGCGCCCAGGTGAGCACCAGGAGAGTCCTGGGCAAACCCCTGCTTGGCTTCCCTTGCTGGAAGTCAGACACTTGGGAATGGATGGGCAGCCACACTCTTAATGAGTTGAATTCTTGCTCAGGAGAAGCATTTAAAGCTCTCAGGGCATTTGGAGTGGAACTTGCAGAGTTTCTCAGTTAAGTTTTGGGGTCTGGCAGGCATTTGTGGCTAAAAATGCAGAGCTGTAGCACAGGCCCCAGTGGCAGCTCTGCTTCAGGGACCTGTGCCTGCAACTCGGGTTTGTTACCACCCTGTACCCTGGAGCAGGCCTTGAAGCAGGAGGGTTGGTTGTTTCCCTAACCCAGTTTGGGGATTTTGCTCTTGGATCCATGGGACAAACCTCTGTGGCTGAGCAGGCCTGACCCAGCTGCTCCTTATCCCTAGGAGTTGGTAAATGATCCCTGGAAGTGCTCAAGGCCAGATTTATGGGAACTTGGAGCAAGCTGGTCTAGTGAAAGATGTCCCTATCCATGGCAGGGGATGGGCTTTAAGGTCCCTTCCAACCTAAACCATTCCATGATTCTGAGACTCTCTGATCTTGCTACCTGTGATATGCTCCTAGTGACCTGTTCTTTGCTGCCTGTGTCTTAGAAGTGAGACAAGCAGAGATCCTGTTGATTTCTGTCCACTACGCTTAATCCCTTTGAGATTCTCTTAATAAACAACGCAGCCAGTCTAAAAATGTAAATTCTGAAGTGGTAGAATTGCCAGAAAACTCCTCAGTTTGGCACAGGCAGGTCTCTTCCTGTGTGATTCAGAAGCCCTAACTGGAATCCCTTTGGCTAGGGATGCTTCCCAGCAGCACCAGTGCCTTGTGTGCTCTGTCCCAGAGAGCTGCTGATGGATTAACTGTGTCCCTGTCCTTGCAGTTCTGGAAGGGTGGCCACCTTCCCTGAAGTCCCTGAGCTTGCCTGAGCTGTCAGCTGTACTGGAGGAGTGTGTGGGAGAGATGGGTAAGGTGGGAAGTACTCTGGGCATGTGGAAGGACTCTTATGATGGGGGAGGCTTGGCTGGGTGGGGTTTGGTGGTTTGGAGTGGTTTTGGGGAGAGACTACACAATCCCTGCTCACTCAGGGAAGTCTCCAGGCTCTGGAGTTGGTGCTGTTCTTGCTGCAGATCTTGGACTCTGCATCATCCCCTAGTGACAGGTCCAGGCTGAAAGGTGGGGGGTAGTCCCTGCATCTCCTGCTCAGTGATGAGAGCTGCTGGGGAAATGGTTCCCTAATCCTGTATCCTGGTGACAGGAAATTGTCCCAGCACCTTGCAGACAGTAGAGACACCCCTGTTCTCAGAGCAGGGAAGGCAGCACAGCAGTGGCTGAGTGCAGCCTGTTCTTTCCTGCTTCCTGCCCCCTTCCTAATGCTGCTTTTTCCCTTTGGTTTGTCCTCAGGAAAAACTCTGCAAACTGTGACTCAAAACCTCCAAAAGCTCCAAGCCCTGGGGCACAGCGGGCAGAGCTGGCCAAAGCCATAACCAAGCCAGGAGGGTGAGTGGGAACAACCGCCCTGCCCAGTCCCAGACTGTGGCACTGAGGGGACACCATCCCTCACTGCCACTCCCAGGCTGTGGCACTGAGGGGACACCATCCTCACTGCCACATGCCCAGAGCTCACTCAGAGCCCACACACCAGGGCTGGGCTCTCACTCATCCCTGTGTGCCCTCTGCTTGGTTCCCTTTGGGGAATGTGTAGCCCCTTTGTCCCAGCAGAGGGTGACTGTCCCCTTTCTCCCGGTGGCTGCAGGAATACTGACGTCGGGTGACTGTTCCACCCGGAAGCTGAGTGTGCCTGGGAAAGGGAGCACGGGGCCGTGCCGGCAGCACCACGGCTCTGCCAAGGGCCACTGCAGCTGGCAGGGCACCGAGGAGGCCGTGGCCACCAGAGAACACAGCTGGGAGGATGAGGGACAGCAGAGGACAACAACCAGCTGCTCTTTGGGCCTGAGTCAAGGCTCCCAGGATCTTTGTTTGAAAGGTTTAGGTTTGGAGGAGAAGCTCCAAGCCTAGAAGTTTTGTCTGCCTTAAGCTTCCTGCAGCCCTTGTTGTTCAGGTCTGAGTGGTGGTAGAAAGGTGACAGTTGCACACAGCAATCAATTCATTATCCTTTTCTGCATCCCAAGCTCCCTACGGCCTCTGAAACGTGTCCCTGGCTCCTCCTGTGCCATGGGGATTGGCCCAGAGAATGGATCTGAGGCCATAAAAAGGTAGTTTGTTGTGGAGGGTTGAAAGGAGTGGAGTTTGTGATGTTTGGCTCTTTGAGCTGCAGTGGAGCTCAAACTGCAGCCCTGTTCCTAATTGGAATGTCTGCTCTACTGCCACCCCAGATCTGTGCTTCAAAGCCTGTTCCTCCAACCAGCCCACTCTGGTTCACTTTGGGTTCTTGCTGTCCTCAGGAGCTGGGTGTGATCACGTTGGTGGCTTAGGAATGGCATTCACTGAAACACTCCCAACTCACCCACTCCCCCTCCTCACCTCCTCTCCCCTGGGGTGGGATGGAGAGGAGAACTGGAGGTACAAAAGAAGATCACTGGTAGAAATAAAAGCATTTTACTGGAAACAGCAGTGAGATAAGGAACAGCTACAACAACAACAATAATAACAGCTGTGTACTGGAGAGGTCCTGGTCCTGCAGAAATGAACCCTGCCCTGGTCAGAACCAGGACATCACTGTTACTCCATCCCCAAGAACTTGGCTTTGTGGTCAGTGCTCTAGGACAGAGGTCACTGGCCTGGTTTGCCAGGGCCAAGATCCCAGCAAGGCAGGGATCCCCTGGAAGGACTGAAGAGAGAGAAGGAAGAGCTGGGACTGTTGAGCTTCCCATGCCTCTGGCAAGCAGGGGAGTGCCAAGGCAGCAGAGCAGAAAGAGGGATAGCTCTGTGCCCCATGGGACATGGACAAAGGAACCACAGCCCAGATGGAGCTGTGGCTTTACCTCACTACTGCCTGCCTTTGATGGATGTGCAGGCTTTAGTGCTGGGAAAGAGCTCTGCCAGGGCATTTGTGGGTGGGCATTGCCAAGGACAGGCAGTGCAGGAAGAGGCTGCCCTATCCCTGGGAGTGGGTGAGGGTGCCAGGGACCTTGGTGTAGAGTGGTTTCCAGTGACTCTGTTCCCATTTACTCCTGAATCCTCTAAGAGGGAAAAACACAACAATCAAAATCTGAAGTGATTTTTCAAAATTTGAAGTGAGTGATGATGTTGATGAATCATGGTAAGTCCCTTTGGGAAGAGGATGGAACTGTGTGTTCCTTCTGGTATTTGGACTTTGGGCACACATCCCAAATATAAAAACCCACCCAGCTCCATCTTTTCAGCTGGTCACCCCTTCTGAGTCCCGTCAGGCAGGGGTGACAACTGGTCTGCCTGCAGTGTCTGTGCTTCCTGCCCCAGGCAGGTATGGCCCCCTCAGCTGTGCCTGGCAGTGTCCCCCCCTCTGGGTGCTGCTTCTTGCCCATGCTTACCTCCCACCCTCAGCACAGGGCACTGTTTTTTCATCTTGAGCAATGCCATGGAGCATGTGGGCACCCAGTGCCAGCTGCAGGGTGAGGCTGCAGGAGCTTCACCCTGAAGAGTTTGGATGAGGCAGAGGGAATTCTCCTCGGGCAGCACCCCTGGAAACTCCTCAGAGGGCTGAGGCTGTGCTGGGGCACAGAGGGTTTTGGGCTTTTGTCCCTCATTCCCTGTCACTGGGGAGTCCCAAGGTCTCTCCCTAGCCTTGGTGCCTCTGGCTGCAGTAATATGGGGTTGTTAGTGGTGTTTCCCTTGAAGTTAAGGCAAACCCCCAAAAAACTCCTAAGGGCAAAGCCCTGGCTCAGCAGTGCCCTCAGAATGGGGGCTGTGCAGAGCAGTGACTGGAAGGTGATTACAGGGATTTGGGGCTTGCTTTGCTAAGTCTGAGGCTGGAATCAAGGGGGCTTGGGGGATTAACAGGATCTATCCAATACATTAGGATGCCTGGGGAAAGGGGGGAGAGGTGGCACTGTGTGTGTGAAGGAAAAAGGCCCCAAACGGGTGCTGCAGCTGTAAAGACTTCAAGGGTGTGAGAGCACCCAAGGGGCCAGCAGGGAGGGGATCTTCAACAGCAGAGTATCCCTGAGGAGGTAATTCCTTTACTGCAGGATGTGAAGCAGCATTCCTTGCAGCTAGGGTGGCTGTGCAGGCAGCAGGAGTCTGGTGCTACTTTAAGGTGAGCTGTCTGAGGAAAAATAGCATTTGCTGATGTGGATGAATGAATAAAAACTGAGAAGCCTGTGTGTGGTGTGTGGGTATCTCTGGAGGGAGCTGGGGCCTCGTGAATAAGTTCCCTATTTATTATTGCAGGAATGCACACAGGGTTTTCAGCCCGCTCTGCCAGGAGGCTGCAGGCTCAGGGGCTTGGGACTGCCTGAGCCCCGAGATCCCAGCACTGCCTGGGGGAGTGATGTGGGAATGCAGTGGGAGCTGCTGGAGCCAGGCTCAGAGAACTGGCTCCTATGTTCACCTGCAGAGGAGAAGGCTTCAGGGAGAGCTCAGAGCCCTGCCAGGGCCCAAAGGGGCTCCAGGAGAGCTGGAGAGGGACTGGGAACAAGAGATGGAGGGACAGGACACAGGGAATGGCTCCCACTGCCAGAGGGCAGGGATGGATGGGATATTGGGAAGGAATTGTTCCCTGGGAGGGTGGGCAGCCCTGGCACAGGGTGCCCAGAGCAGCTGCGGCTGCCCCTGGATCCCTGGCAGTGCCCAAGGCCAGGCTGGATGGGGTTTGGAGCAGCCTGGGACAGTGGAAGGTGTCCCTGGATATGGCAGGGGTGGGATGAAATGGGATTTAAGTTTCTTTTCCCTCCCAGTCCAGTCTGAGATTCAGCTGTCTGTGCCCACCAGCCCTTTCCCTCCCCTGGAGCAGACAGAAGCAGCAGGCTCTGCTTGTTGAAAAATAAATATTTATTTACATCTGAAAAGAGAGTTAATGTGTAAATTGGTCTCGTGGGGCTTCCATTGATCCAGGATCTGTGACTCCAGGCTGGTGCAGCCTCTTTGCTTTGTGTGTTGAAGGCAGCTCCTCCCTGAGGCCCTGGGAAAGGCTCCCCCAGCCTGTCAGGGAAGGGGCAGGGCCTGGAAAACCTCCTGCATCCATGGGCATCTCCTGGAGCGTCCCAGCTGCTTCCTCCTGCCTGGAGAAGACTCGAGCATTGCAAAGGAAGGAATGTGGTGGGAATAAGCTCTGGCCACGTGTCCGTGCTGCTCCTGTGGGCCAGAGCGAGGGGCTGGGACCAGAGATGCCTCCAGTTGCTCTGGGCTCCTCCGGGAGAGCACAGGACCAGGACAGGAGCAGCTCTGCTCAAACCACACCACCTCCACTGCTTCCCTTGCTCCTGGGCTTCCTGGGAGCCACAGGCTGCTTGACATGGGGGGGATGATGCTTTGGCACCCCCCTGGAAAGCAAACTCCCAGGATTTTTGCCTTTGGCCAGCAAAACGTTTCCTGAGCTCCTGCCGGGCTGGAAATCCAGCTTTCCCTCCAGAAAGCAGGGGCAGGCTGGGCTGGATGCTGAACCTGGCCTGGAGGAGGCTGGGCTCTGCCCCGGTGAGTTGCTGCTCTCAAATCCTTCACTCCCAAGCACTTTTGAGGCTCCATCCTTGGCTCTGCCCATGGCAGGGGGAACCAGGGCTTTGTGCAGCCAGAGAGCAGCGAGGAGGGGATGGGAGCTGCTGTTCTGTGTTGGTGATGAGGGTGGCAGGAGGAGCAGCCCCTCGCTGTGCAGAGCTTTACACAGTGGCTGTGGATGTCTGGGAGCTCTCGGGGTGCTGGTGAGATGCTCCTGAGCTGGGGCACAGGAGGACAGGGAAGCTCTGGCTGCAGGGTGTGGGCAGCGTTGCTGCTGCTGAGATCCCAGAGGTGGGTGTGGTGTCCCAGGGGTTCCTTGTGTGGGAAGGGTCCTGGGGGAGGCTGCCAGGTTCTGCTGGTGCTCCAGCAGTGGGAGAAGCAGCAGGGCTGCCCACACAGCGGTGCCTGGCAAGAGCCAGGGGTGCCAGCCCCACTCGGGTCACAGCAGGGATGTCCCTTCCAGCAGCTCCAGTGTGGCACAGCCAGACACCCATCCCAGCCTGGCCATCCCGGGTGGGCACTGCCCAGCACAGCTTCCTGCAGCCTCTTGTCCTCCAGCCAGGCCTTGTGGCCATTGTGGCCAGCAGCCCCTCTGCCCTGGCTGGTCACCACGTCACTGGGCACAGCAGAGCACCGGGTGGTCGAGCTTCCAGAGCTGCCACTTCTTCTTCATCTCGGACTTCACCTGCCGTGGAGGGGAAGGAGCAGGGGCTTATCCGTGGCTGTGCCCTCCCTGCAGGCACAGGGTGGGGTGGGGAAGCCGGGCAGGAGGTGCCATGGCAGGGACAAGGACAGGGCAGGGACGTTACCTCCTTGTTGGCAAAGCAGTACAGCACAGCCACCAGGAAGCCCTGCAGGGAGAGCCAGCAGTGAGCCCACCCCCATCCCTCTCCTGGGGCTGGGATGGGCTCAGGCTCCCCCCAGGCCACTCCTGGGTGCCTTTAGGGCTGGGGTCCCCATGGCACCGCTGCTCAGAGACACAGGAGGTGACAGCACGCTCCCAAGGGCAGAGGGTGGCAGAGACGGTGCTGCCCTTCCCACAGAAGCAGCACAGGGAGAGCAAGCTCAGAGAGGCACCCCCTGATCTCTGCTCCGTGGTGCACGCAGAGCAAGGATTTGTTTCACTCCCACCTCACCTGGAAGGAGTTGAGGAAGAGGGTGAAGAACACCTTGACGTAGCGCAGGATGCCCGTGGTTTGCTCGTCCGTGGCGAAGATGAAAACGACCTCGTGGATCCCAAAGAGGGGGATGAGGGTCAGGGTGGCTTTGGCCAGCCTGGGGGACAGTAAAACTCCCAGTTAATCCCAGGGCGGTCATTTAAGGATGTGAAAGGTGGAGGAGAGGCGTGGGGAGGGGGTGTGGAGGTGGTGTTATCCCATTAGCCCAGCCCATCTCTGCCCTGCTCCCAGCCCACCTCAGCTTGTAGTCGGCGTAGCCCTTCTGGTTGGCCCGGAGCTTGGCCAGGATCACCTTGAGGATCCGCATGAAGATGAGCAGGTTGATCTGGAAGGGGGAGACAGGGCAGGGGCACACAGAGCCCAGCACCCCCACCCTGGCTGTGACACCCACCCAGCAGGAGATGGCACCCCCCGTGCTGCCCTTCCTCCTCTGCTGCCATCCCAAAATCCCAGCTACAAAGCAGCAGGAGCCACCCCCAGCCCCTTTCTCTGGGGTTCAGCACCCCAGCTTCCTTCGTGAACCCCCAGAACCAGGGGTCAGCAAACTGCTGAACCCCCTGTGCATTTGGCTGGTCCTTGCAGGCCAACTGTCCCTCCTGGCCTCTCCCAGCAGCTCCCCTGGGGATCACAGCCCGCCCAGGGCTGGGAGCCAGGGGCTGAGCTGCTGCTGTCCAGCCAGCCCTGGGGCTGGCAGCTGTTCCCTACCAGGGAGGCGAGCAGGATGGGGATGCGGATGATCCACCAGTACGCCATGTTCTCGTTCAGCGCCCAGCACCTGCCGCGGGGGCACGAGACAGCACCGTCAC